CAGCAACAAAGGGGGAGAAAACGATGAGCAATTGACCGCGTGCGACTCCTAGAGTGCACTCTCGATCTCTCTGTGGATGGGCAACAGCCCTGGTGGGGCAGTGCTTACGTGTTAGGCTGTGCTCCGCAAGGTCGGCAGTTCAAAACCACCAGCAGTCCTGCAAGAGAAAGACCGGGCTTTGTACTCCCATAAACAGTGACAGCCTAGGAACCCCCAGGGGTACTATGAGTCAGCATTAACTTTACGGCGGCAAATTTGGTTTGGGGTTTTGGGGGGCAGTTTGGTGGATGGGCATGTGAGCCAGGCTAGGAGCGGACAGGCTGATGATATGGTGCTGCACACCTGGTCTGTTCCAGGGACCAACAGCAGCTCTGAGGGTCTGCAAGTGTCAGGGCTCTGTGGGGAGAGAGGGGTGTGGTGTGGCAGGCATGTTCGCTGCATCTCCCAGGTGTGCCTCACAGGGCCCACCCAACTCCTACAAGCTAGCCAGAGAGCAGGTTCTCACAAGGAAGCCTGGTACCAAGGTTAGGGACCTGCAGTTAAGACCCAGCCCCAAAAGAAGTCCATGCCCAACAGCAACACTCCCAGGACCTGGCTAATTCCCCAGGTTCATAGTCAAGACAACATCACATGGAACACCTGACAACAGCCTCCCTCAGAAATCCCATGACACCCTGGTGTCAGGACAAACCTTGCTGCCCAGGAGAGGAGCTGCACTGCTCAGGTGAGGGACAGACGGGTGGAGTGAGTCATGGAAAGATCTTCAGCTTTCGTTCAAAAGCCTGACCTGTCACTTACCAGCTGTGTGATCTCAGGTAAGTCACTTAACCTACACGTGCCTGCTTTCTTACCCATAGAACTAGGTTACCAAAACTTATCTCTCAAAGCTTATTGTTTAACAATAGGACATTTGTCATTTTAACTGTTTTTAGTGTATAATCCTGGGGCATTAATCACATTCACTATGTTGTGCAGCTTAATAGAGGGAATCAAAGAGTTCATCTGAAATTTCAAAGTCGGATTTTAGGTTTCGTGGTTTGGAAGTCCAAAATTTAATAGCCCCTCTCCCTTGTAGTAAAATTCCTTTTTCTGGGGTGAAGTTCCGGAAGGTGAAGAACCACTGTGTTGGGCCAGGCTACTTCTGACTTCGGTGATAAGGAAACACCCCATCATGCCCTTGGGGTCTGTGCTTTATGAGGAATTCAACGACGATTGGGAGCCTCGTTTCAAGCCTGCCAGGCTGTCACCGTGGTCAGGTTGTCACTGTGGTGGCTTGCGTGCTGCTATGAGCCTAGGAGCACTGCCACTGGGATTCAAGCTGCTAACAGGGTCACCCCGGGTGGGCGGGCTTCAGCAGCACTTACGAAGAAGAAAGGCCTGGTGATCTTCTTCTGAAATTAGTCCGTGAAAAGTCTTATGGATCACAACAGAACACCGCCTGGCTCACTTGTTTCAGACACGCCGGTAGGAGAGCTCCATTGGTGGAGGAGGATATCGTGCTTGGTGAACGCACACGCCAGAGAGGGTGCGAGGGACCCTCAATATGAGCCTGAGCGTGCCAGCGATCACAGGGGTGACTCGGGGTCATGCAGTGCTTTGTTCTGATGTACAGAAGAGCTGACTCCACGGTAGCTAGCTAGTGATGATGTGTTCACTGCTGCTCCGGCTCTTGTTTTCTCACACACCCTGGCCTGGCAGCCCTCAGCGCCTGGAAGGCCAGCCCGAGAAAGAGAGGCAGTGCCCTCCCGGCCAGCAGGAACCAAAGTCAGTGGCACTCTAGAGGCCATGGGCTGGCACCACTCTAGAGGCCATGGGCTGGCACCACAGCAGCCAGCGCTCACACTATGTCTCCCACAACAGCAAGTGGATGCTGGTGGGCCGGGCATCTTCCCTGAGCTCTATTTGGATCACTCACTGATTCTATTGAGCAGCCAAGACAATGGGAGCACCCTGGACCATTGACATTTGTCTCAAGCAGGAAGAAACGACCTCAAATGCATTTTTGGATCCCATTGTTTTGATCCCAACAGGGAACTCTTCCCCAACCAGGAACCCAGGAATCCAACAGGTACCCAGGCTCCTTTCTGAAGCTTCTGCCCTCAGCCCGCAGCCTAGCCCTTTCTGCCATGGCCAGTTCTCGGAGGGATGTGGAGCCCAGGCTGTTCCAGGCAAGCAGGGTGAGGGGTGTGGAAACCTTACAAGACCAGGCCCCAGACTATAGACTCCGGACATGCCTATACTGGGAGAACTCAAAAGGCAGGAGCTGGGAGAGGCACTGGAGAAGGAGGGGTTGGGTGGAGTCTCTGCTGCTCTGTGGGAGGGGCCTGGACATGTGGGGCAGGAATGGTGCAGCTTCCACCCTGACAGCAGGGCTGCACAGGAGACGGGCCGTCACAGCCAGAGGTCTGGCTCTGCTCTCCGTTGAGGCAACGGAAGCTATGGGGATGAAACCCTGTTCCTCAAGGGCTGCGCTGAGGTGCAGTTAGACCATCATCTGCAGGGAAGTTTTGAACATGGAAACCACTGTCACTCCATGTCCTGGTGACCCTGCATGTCACAGTCGTGTGTTCCATAGTGTTTTCAATGGCTGGCATTTGTCACTGGATCCCAGGCCGAGCTTCCAAGGCACCTCTGGATGGAGTTGTGCTGTTAGCAGCCGTATCAAACAGGGCAACGTGGTAGAGAGTACACGGGGCAACTTTGCATGAGCCGGATGTTTTAAGAGACCTTTCCAAATGTTGATGCCAATATTTGGCCCAAGTTCTAAAAGGATGGCATCTGTGCTCGGGTTCTAAGGTGGAAAGCTTACGTCCTGCTTCATTAGAGTGAACCCCAGGGAGATGTGAGCGCAGAGGGGGCACCACCCCAAGGGTGCATCACCAAGCCACCCTCTGAGAAGCCAGCCACATCGATGGTGACGGAGGCAAGAGCTATCCCCTTCTGTTTCTCATTGGTGAAAGGTTGGTACCGTGTGTGTGTTTGGGGGGGGGGGTGTCATTCACCAAACTCTAAGTTTGCAGGAAGCAATAGGGGACGTTGGCTGAAACTCACAGATCCAGTCACTGCTGAGGCTGCAGGAACCATGTAGATCATCCGTCTTCAGTGAGCACGAGTAGCTGTCAGGTGGTAACTGGAGACATCCCCAATAGTCTGAGCTAACTGTACTTTTGACCAATGATTATTCAAAAGTATATAGGGCATAACCCCAGTATACACACACACACACACGAATCCTAAAGCCTGCAGATGAAGTACATCGAGCAGTGCCCAGCTATGGAGAAGCTGCCGGCAAACACTCGGTAGAGGGCGACCCATCCATACTGCTATCCCGGGCTCCGGCTGCCTGGTGGTCTTAGTTACCTGCTGCTGCTCTTACAGAACCCAGGTGGGAGCTTTAACCAACAGAAATGTCTTTCCCCACAATGCAGGTGAGAAGACTGCCAGCTCTAAGGGATGGGGTTCTTTCTGTTGCCTCTGGAGCAAGGTCCTCGTCTCCTCTGAGCTTCTGTTTCTGGGGGACCTCCGTGCCTCTGCCGCTGCTCACTGCCCTGCTGCGGCATCATCAACCTCCAAGGAGCTTGACTCACATCCTCTCTTCTGTCTCAGTAACATGGGAGACCACCCATTTCCTAATAGGGTTACAGGCATGTGGGGTTATATAAACGGAGGGGCTAAGACTTACATCATATTTGGGGAAGACACTCCAACCAGCCACGCAGCCATTTATTAGTGTCCCATCCACTATGGAGCAAACACTGTGCTTGGCACCTTGGCTCTGGGGCAAAGAGGAGACCAGACATACTGTCAGCCCTACAGTGCTGGATTCAGATTCCTGTTCCTCAGTTTCCTTCTCCATAAAATAGAGATTACACAGCTTCATTCATAGTTGAGAAGTTGCAAATGCAGGTTATTAGCTTCTGTTAATAATCAGTATTATTAGCTACTGAGCTGGCTCCCATCCCATAGCAACCAATGTGATTTTAGCGTTTTTATGGGCAGATTTTTCAGAAGTGGAACGTCAGGCCTTTCTTCCTAGTTCTGTTAGGTAGAACAGGACAGGGGGCGGGGGTGGGGGGGGTTATCCTTCTCCATGCCTGGAAGACCCCTCCAGGAGGTTGCTGCAGAGAACCAGCCGAGCCTCAGCCAGCCATAAAGACTATTGGGCATGCACCAATTCAAGCCCGGGCCAGGTGGCGGTACACATGGGTGGCCCAAACTAGGCCCAGGTGGACTTAATTCAGCCAATGGGGTCAACCAATACCTTTGACCATGCCTCCCAGCCAGAGGCCCCAAATACTGGGACCTCGAGCCTGCCTAGCCCTTCTGCATCTTTTCCGCCGTCTGCTCAGCTGCGCCTTCCATCTCTCTGGTCTCAGGCCACCATGTGTGGGCATGCAGTCCCGAAAGGTTGCCCCTGTTCAGTGACTGTAAAACCTGAAACTTCATCCATCCTTTATAAAAACTCACTTGGATCACAAACCAGGCTCTGGCGTGAATCCTTTCTCATACAAAGCCAAGAACCGAGGTATTTCCCACCTGAGACCCTAACAGTTCCTCTTAGTCAGGAAGCCCCATGGAAACCCTTTCAGCATCACACCCACACCCCACAGGCAGCGGTTCAGGAGGTGCACTGGTCAGGGCTCAAACCTGCATCAGTGACTGTGAGAGTCCCTGTGTCCCCCTTTCTTTCCCCTGTGCCTGCAGACAGAGGGTCTTGTTGAGAACTAGCCAGCCAGCCAACCAGCCAGTGGTCATCAAATAGATCCCATCTCACGGTGACCCCGGATGTCAAGGAGAAAGCCTGTTCCGGAGGGGTTCCAGTGGCTGTGACTTGGCGGAAGTAGCTCTCCGGGGATTTACAGAGTGCCCGAGTGGGTTCAAAGCCACTGGATTGGCAGTGGAGTGCTGGCACCACCAGGGCCCCAAGGCTTAACACAGCCTCCCCAGCCCCATCCACACTTCTGAGTTTGGGGCTCCAAGGAACAACACAGCAGACAGCATGTGGTCTTGGGGCCTTTATTCGGGTAGGTACAGAGCATATGCAGTCTGTTTGACAGGCACTGTGTGTGGTGCTCCAACTCCCTCGGGAAGCCAGGCCCAGAGAGGTTGGAGAGCCCCTCTGGGGAAAGCCCCTCCAAGTGGCGGTCAGTGCACCAGCCGTGGGCAGACCCCCGGCCTCTGCCCCAGTCATGGCCAGGGGAGAGAGATATGTGGGGATTAACCGGACCCAAAGAACTCCAAGCTAAATCCAGACCACGAAGGAAACAGTCCATTTGGGTGGGGGGGGGCAGAGGCTGCTTCTAGCTCTTTCCACCAAGTGGGAAAGGAGAGAAAGCAAAGCTTTAAAGGAAAACGAAAATACAGCCGTTCAGTCTTAGTGTTTTGTGCAATTTAAAAAACCAACAAAATAAATATAACTTAAAACCTTCATATATGACACTAAAAAGCAAGTCTGGCAGAGCAGTCGAGGATACCTGCTGTCCTCGGGACAAGTTAGTACTGGGCTCCTCAGGGCCCCAGAGCAAGACAGCGAGGGCAGGATGGGAGGGCCTGGCACTCACAGGATATCCCCCTACCTGGAGACCCATCCCCAGCACCCCCAGATCTTTCAGAACCAGGGCTGAGCAGGGAAGTTCCATGCCAGGGAGCCATTGCTCCCTGCTGGAGACCCGTGGGGGAGGTGCTGGGTGTCAGAGCTGGGGCCTGGGGTGGAACGGGTTGAAAGAGGGTACACATGGGAGAGAACTAGCATGGTAGATACATTTTAAAAAAATCTAAATTAATAGACTGACCCTAAAAAGATATCACTTTATACCACCTTCATATACATACACGGTCCAAAGCAAAATATTGCCAATAGGAGGCCCTGCCCCTGCCCCGGACCTCCTAAAACTCAATGACTATTTGCAGATAGCACATTGTCTGCAAACACCAGGCACCTGCTTAAAGGGCTTAGAAAGTGTGTTCTCTTAAATTCGCTCAGCTGGTCCCTTCTTTTTTGTTGTTGTTCTTATCATTCGGTTGCTTTAGCAGACATTTTTCCTAGGTAACAAAGGTAGCCTTTGGCTGGCCAGGGCCATAGAATCTTTATGTCTGAATCAACAACAGTCTTTCTGCAGCTGGCTGAGGCACAGACCCTCAAGGTCCCTCCAAATGCACAGGGAGGGGCCTGACTGCAGCTTGCAACCAGAGCCGCCCCTCCTTCAGGGAGGATCGCCTACCCCCAGCCCACAGGCTCTCCAACTCAGCTCAGCACACTGGGCTATGTCTGACTTTGGGCAGAAGGGGCGCACCACGATTCTGAACAAGAGCTGGGAAGTTCAAAAGTGGTTTCCTTTTCAGAAAGGTGTGCTTCCGCCTCCTTGCTGCGTCCCACCTCCCACGCCCTCCCATCAGTCGCTCACCTAACAGGAAAGGGAAAAGGTGTCACGTGGACTAGTCAGGGTTCCCCCTCTGTGATCCTGGGGTGATGGGATGGGTGTCCCAGGAACCACCCCCTCTGGCCACACCTCCTGAAGCAGCTTCCTGCCCTGCCCCCCACCCCCGACAGCTGGCAGCCCCTGCGCTGCGGCAAGCCCTGTGAATCTGGGGACACCGCTCCATACAGCAACAGGGTCAGGAGTGCCTTTCTGAGAACGCCATGCAAGTCTTACATTCTCCCAAATAATGCAGACTTGGCCTTACAATTTAAACAAGGTTCAAAGTTAGTTTCCCGCCAATCTTTGGGAGAAAGTCCCCTCTTCCCCGCCCTCACCCCACTCGGGAAGCACAGGTCTCAGTGATTTGGGGCTGCAAAATGTGCCAACCGGCTTCTCACAGTGGGGGGGGGGGTGTCGAGACGCCTCCCTGGGGATTGGTGACTCTGAAGGAGCGTGGGGGGGGGGAGCGAGGGGAAGAGTCTCCTCCTGGCCTAGAGTCCAGTCACTGAGGGCTTTGCCTTCCTCTCGCGGTCTGTGTCTGCCCCTACCCTCCACCAGCCCTCTGGACCTTGCCGCAGGGCAGGCAGCCATGCCCGGGTGCCCGCTGAGCCCATGGGCAGTGGCCATAGATGGAATGCGACCGCTCCTGCCACCTCACTCTGGGAGGCCTGGGTCTGAGGACATCCATCCCGCTTTTGTCTTCCTGGATCAGGCCCCCAACTGGGGGCTTTCCGCCCTGAATGGGCGCGCTTCCTGCTGAGACCAATCCGAGTTGCCAATGGGATGGTACCTTCCCCCGTCAATGGTCAATGAAAGGCTCCCTGAAAGGTCTTGTGTCCCCATGATCACAAGGCCTGGCTCCCTGAACCTCAGCCTGGAAGGTGGCAGCAGAGAGGGGCTGCACTAGCGACACTGGTCACCAGGGGGCAGCAGGCCCCACGGTTCAGCCCAGTAGGCCTGTTTATTCCAGGGCCCCCCAGAGGCATCCCCAGCAGCCTCCCCTGGGCTCTAACAGGAGGCTGAGCCCCAGGTCTGGGTGTTTCTTTTCTAGCCGGCGGTCCTATGTACAAAGACCCATGAGAACCTGACACCCAAGCCCTCCTGTTAGGTTTCCCCGAGGAAACCTTACCTCTTCCCCTCGTCTACACAGTGCAGTTTGGGAGGGTCAGTTATGGGCTTGATCCCGGGAGGGAGGGAGGGAGGGAGAGAGGGAGAGAGGGAGAGAGATAAGGCAAGAGCGGCCGTGGGGGCGGGCGGAGGTGCTCAGGCTCGTGGGTCTTCCATTCCGGTCAGGATGTCAATCAGGTTGTTCAGCCCGGAGAGATAGCCGTCCTCCCGGTTCCCCTCCTGCCAAGGAACATCATGCTGCAGGGTCTGGCCCTCGGACAGCGGGGTGGTCTTCCCAAAGTCAATCATCCACACCTTGGCCTGCTCTTTCTTGTCATGGATGAAGAGGAGGGAGCTGCCGATGACCTGGAGGGCAAGGGCACCAGTGAGTGAGAGGGTAGGTGAGCCCCCTGCCCTTCCTGTCTTGCTGAGAGAAGGTGAGAAAGAACCCGGCCTGGAAGAACAGATGGCCGGTAGGTAGCTGATTCGGCCTTGGAGTCCCAAGGACAGCACCTCCATGGCCCCAGCAAGGGACAGGCCAAGGCAGGGACACCCCTTTCTGTAAGGATGGTGGCAGTGAGAGAGCCTGGGTGGGCAGACCTCACCACCCTGCCCGCCTGCACACTTGCCATGACTTTGAAACAAACCCAACCTCCTCTAAGGGGTTTCTTTTTCCCCTCCCAGGGCAGTGGTCAAAACTCCTTGAGTGACTGTGCACAGCGCAAGGGGAGATGGTGCCAAGCTACCTAGTGGGGGCAGGAAGGGCCCTGCCCAAAAGGAACACACAGCACCAGCAGGAGGGCTGAGGTCCTGGTCACAACCCCCCCACCCACACACACACACACACACACCCCAGGAAAAGCCTCTTAGGGCCTCCCCAGCAGGGTCCTCCTGGCCGGGATATATATATATATATATATATATATATATATATGTATGTATGTATGTATGTATGTATGTATGTATATATATAT